AATAAAAGTTTGTTTTATAAAATTGCTGACAATTAATGAATGCATAAAATGATTTCAACAAATATAGCAGTTATAAGTACCAATTATTAAGTGTATCAATTTGTTGCAAAAAACAAAAAAGGTATTAGCAAAAAAAAAATAAAATAAAATAAAATAGGAGTAAAAAACAAACAAATGTGTTATTGTCAAAGAGAAAGAAATAAAGGTTTTGAAACTGATGACAACCGATGTTGCTAATGCTGATGCTGATGCTGATGCTGATGCTGATGACGACGATGACGACGATGACGACGAGGGTGACATAGGCGTTAAAAAGAAGAATTTTTTTTTTTACACCATTTTATTGGGTTGATTAGGAAACTGGTCAAATATTGAAATGCTAATTGTTGTTGGTGTTTTCTTGGCTTTTTTTTCTGCTGTTTTTTTTTTTTTGTTGCTTTTCTTTTTAACCATTATTTTAGAATGGAAAAACAATATTGCCATTATCGTAACTGTAATCACATATACTGCTTTTTCTAGATTCAGAAATTTTCAGGATACAGAATAGGATATATAACGAAGTAAACGACAAAGATGGAAGCCGGTATGGAAGACGTTGTTTGGGTCCGTTACCTGTGTTGATGTGAATGCCGAAAAGAAAAAATGCATTAATAAGAGGCAGATGTTTGAATGGAATCAGATAATTTTATCAACATTCAACTCATAACCTATCTAATCGGCAACAGATCATCATCGGAGGTTATTGAGCTGTTATTCAATTCAACTGCTTACATACAATGTCGGTGGATGGTGTTCTTTTAAAAGTCTTTTTTTTTTTCATGTTGTGCTTTTTCTGTTACCAAAAAAAAAGAACTAAAAAATTGATAAAGATTTGGTGAGCGATTTGTGGACAACGATCCAAAAAAAAAAAAAATCACTTCTGCTGTTGCTGGTTGACATTCATCTAAGAAAGTACAACAGCACCATAGCGTTGGGATTATGGGGGAAACTGTTCAGCAGCATTTACATCATACCCGGTATTCTATCCAGTTTTTTGAATGATGCCAAATCTTCTTTATATAACAAAAAAAAAAAAAAAA